GCCAGGGAGAGAGGTAGTTTTAACTGCCAGTCTCTGGAATTTAAATTTGACTGATAGGCAACTAGAAGAAAACAGGATTTTGGAGCAGAGAACACGATGAAAATAGCGTTTGTAAAAGAATGTTTTGCTTACTAATCTGACCGGTCTGAGAGCAGAGACTATAGGCAGGCTGACTAGCATAAGGCTAAGTCATTAGTGGTTGATGAAGAGACGGCAATACCAATGCATGATGCATGAGGAAAGTCAGCAGGGCTTGATGCCTGAATGGGCATGTGTGGTAAAGCACCAGGAATTACTCACTGGGGCTTCCTTCCAGAGGAAGGGCCTTCCCATGGACTGCCGTGGTGAAAACTGTCTCTCTCTGACCAAGGATAATGTTGAGCAGCTCTTTTTTAAATGCATCCTATTGAGAATTAGATCCATGAGACTCAAGTAAAAGCAACACATAAATTTTAGCACAAGGATAGACCCAGAAAGACATGTGAAACTATGAGAGGAGGTATGTCCAAACACTACCCAAAGACACCTTTCATCCTAGGTGTCTAGCCTGTTTGGGTAGCTATAACAAAATACCAAAAACCACAGACTGGGCAGCTTATAAACATAAATATTTGTTTCTCACAGTTCTGGAGGCTGGAAGTCCAAGATCAAGGTGCCAGCATGGCTGTGTTCTGGCGGTAGCCCTCTTCTGGGTTGTTGACTTCTCTCTGTGTTCTCATATGGCAGAAAGGGCTACAGAGTCTCTTTTATAAAGGCACTAATCCCATTTATTTATGAGGGGCTCACCTTTAGGACCTAATCACCTTCCAAAGTTCCCATCTCCTAATGCCATCTCTTTGGGCATCAGGATTTCAACATATGACTTTGCAGGGGACACAAATGTTCAGAACCACAGCACTATGGAAGAGTGCTATCATCACATAGGTTATTAGAGAGGCCGGTGTGGAGAGGAGAGGATACTCCAATGCTCACTAATCACACGGTCCTGATGAACTTCACATCTCTCTGAAATTCTTTGAGTAGTCCGAACACATGAATACTTTCTCAATCCACATCCAACAATAACAGCAGACGCTTAACAGGCTGGAGAGTAAAATGTGGAAGCCTTAACAGTCTGGCTTTACTCCCGGACAGCTGCAATCACTCTGTATCTCTAGTGGGTGTGCTCTCACCGTCTCTGTCTCTCATTACTGGGCTTTTTGCTCTCTTCCCTTTTTTAACTAATTGAAGACTTTCCGTGGTTTATAGGAAGTCATTCTAATATTCCACCAGATATTCATGTTTTCTTGTCATTGTCCCATTTTACCTTCCCCACTGTCCAGTTTCCCCAACCAGCATTTCCATTCCATTTGTGACCCATCATCACACAGAAGTAAACTGGTGTGAAAGGTCTGGTAAGGATTTGATAGAAGAACTTGGGTAAACTTGAGTTTTATACCCAGCAGATGTGTTATCATTGGCTCCCCTTTCATATGAGGTTTAACTCTCATTCTTGCATCATCTACACAATCTTCCTTGTCAGCTGGGCAAGTGAAGACTGCCGATGAGGCACATGGCGCCTCCAGCACAGTTCTCTTGGAGCAAGCTTTCCCCAGATGACGGGCTTAATGTTTCTGCTGATCTTTGTAGGAAAGCAATGACGACACTGATAATGAGCTAATTTATATTGTAATAGCATTAATAATTTTTTTCAAACTACACACACACAGTAACTTGTAGAATTTGACTTTCACTTGATTAAAAAATTTAGCATTTTAAACATGCCAAATAACTTAATTGGTAATTTAACAATTTAAATTGTAATCAATAGTGGTCCTTGAACTGCCTAATAAATATGTTAAATCTTCAAAAACAGAATTATACTCTCTGTGTGAGTATAAGAGTATTTTATTTTAGAGAGGGGAGTAGCCCTGTATCTATCCATCCAGAAGCCTATTCGATTTTTGTGCGAATTTAGTTGCAGAATAAAGCAACTAAAATCCCAGCAACTTTTTCCAGAGAAAGTCCCCTCCTCTTGCTGTTTTTAAAAAAGCAGCAAGCAAGGTCAAGAGTGTGGCTCTGTTCAACTGCATGGATGGGTCTCGTTACTGTGGCCGGCTCTCCCTGGCTCCCGAGAACACCTTGCTCAAGGTCAGCTGAGACGGCTTTGGAGGAGCCACACCTGACCGTACTGGTGGAACCTGAGCTCTGAGTCATTCCCTTGGCAAAGAGCTCATCTAGGAAAAGGCAAAAGTCAGGGACACGCTGGCGTGAAAGACAGATGAGTCATGGACAAGGGACAAGTCACTCTCGACAGCGGACCAACTTTAGGAAACACTGAAATGGAAAAAACGATGTTTGGGGAAACTAGCACTTATTTTTGGCCAGGATCATTTAACACACACACACACAAAATCTGCAAAGGTTTGTTTTTGCTCCCAGCAATTTCTCAAGTACTGACCACTCACACTATAAAAGAACAAAAATCTGTCCCAAAGAAGTTGTGAAAAAAGAAACTTTCCAAGAGAAACTACCAATTACTTAAGTTTGATTAAGATAAGAAGAAATTAAAAACAAAGGGAACACTGTAACCTATTTCCTGAAATTGCAATCATATGAACGATGCATCGAAATTGTTGTCTGTATATCCCTTTAAAGATGACTTACGTATACATTACACAGGTGGTTTTATATTATATGTTAAAAAACTCAAAACTTTGACCAAAAGAATACTACAAGGTCATTTTATACCTTCATTTTCTTTTTCAGTTTCCTTAAACATGGCACCATTTTAAAAAGGACCCACCTTGTCCTCCAAGAACAAATCTGAAGTGCATATATTGAGGAGCAGTGAAGAACTTTAATGACAATATGATACATATGTCTTCATGAGGCTACTCATCTATAATATAAGAGCTCAGAAAAGAACCAAGTTTTAATGAACTTTAAATACAAAAACATTTGGAAAATAAGGAAAAATAAGGAAAAATAATCTGTTCACAAAACCCTTTAAAGCACTAAGTTTCCATCTTATTTATGGGAACACTGATACAAAAACAACTTCAAGTAACTTGCACACAATGATCTATTTGAGAATTAGATTTATGAGCCAGGATTTAGCGTCTATAGCCCAGGCGACATTGTGTTAATGAATCACAAATCACATGGTTAAATACTTTCTAATCTTCCTGAAGCAGGACCTGGCTAAATAATGATATTGACAAATTTCATGATGGATATGCTTGCTAAGGTAACTAACTGTCTTCTCCAGAAAGTTCCACTAGGAGGGAGATAGGAAGGGCCTCCACTTCTCGAATGTCCCTACTGTACCAGGCACTTCCCAGAGCTACACCGTGTAACCTTCCCCAAATCCCTACTAGCTTGCTGTTATTCTTACCTGGCACATGGGAAACTGAGGCTTAGAGAAGTCCATTAGCAGTGGTGAGGTTACAGCCATGTCTACTCAACTCCACCCCCCAGTCCTTTCCTGGCCACTAGGGCTGCAAATTCACCTGCTGTCAGGAGCCAGCTCAGTGAGCATTAGTATCACCTGGCTGTGGATAAGAGAAGGGGTGCTGAGAATCATGAGCGGGACCAACAGGTCTGTTTGCTGGGGACTTTTTGTGTTTTTAGCACTTGAAAGTCCCATGTCCCAAAAAAGCCCTCACTCGTGGGCTCCTAGAATGATGCAGAGTGGAGAATACAGCCCTGTCAGAGGCAATCCCCGTTAAATCCACCTGTGCTCAGGTGCAATTCTACTGCCTGGGCTCTAAAGGCCTGGGGGTAGGAAGTACTGAGCTCTTTCCAGCCAAAAGGAGTCCAAGGCTCTCATATCAGAACTTCTTATTCTGGGATAAGAGAAGAAGATAAGGTAATATGGTGAGAAGAGTGATGGGTTTCAGGGTATATCACTGAGAGGTCTTGTTCGCTTCTCTTTGTCTATTTCCAGAGATTGTAGAATTCCACTTGGCACAGGCTGATTCTTACCTGTCAGCCTAAGATAGATTCTGAGGGTTCTGGAGAGCCTCACATCTACCTAACAATGTCGTGCACAGTGCCATAATAGCGAACTATAAAATGCAAAGCACACTATATAAGCAATAGTACATTACATATGGGGGCTGGAGAGGAGACTCCCGGAAGGCTGTCAATCAAATCAGAGCATGTGGTCACTGGGGAATGTGGCACCCAGGTTAAGACTTTGTGTTCTCAGGAGGGCTGCTCTTTGTCACTCTTCAAGTCACTGCAGACATGAGTTAGCTACAGAGCTGTCTCTCAATTTTCTAAACATCCCCAGTCTCCTCATTTGGTGACTTTGAGCTCTCAGGCCCTCTGTAAAGAGGAGGAACATTGGTACCTTGAAGTTCATCCACTCCCTCAGCTCCTGCAAGGGTCTGGTCAGAGGACACTTCTAGGCTCTCCATCAGCTTTGGAGACCAGGAAGAAAGCCTGGGAAAGGCGTGGACATGCAAAGTACCCAGCAGTGTCTTCCATGGTGCACACATACCTCCGGCACCTGCCCCACTCTCAGTGTGTCCCTCGGCTGGCACATAGGTTCCACCCTCTCCACATGGCCTCCTTTGGACATCTCCCTCCCAAAACTCCCAGGGCACTTGCTGCTGGCCCCACACCACTTGGCATGTCAGAAAACACTATCTCATTCCCCAGCCACAGACAGTGTACTTCTCAGTGGAGTGTAAAGATATCTATTTTTTATATTGTCTTCAAATCCATTCACTGCCACATACCTGATTATTGGTAAATATAACCTAGCTTTAAAAAACCATAACTATTAGCAGACATGCAGAAGGCATTGTGGAAACCCTTGGGAGAGCAAATCATCGTTACTACTATTTGGTGCTGGCAGGGACCTCAATAGAGGGGACTCTTTTTTTTTTTTTCCTGCCAGACAGCAAACTATCTGAAACCTCACCTCTTTGTCTTACTGTAATAATGACACAGGTTTTCAGAGAATCAATACTCTCTGCTGGGAATGGATCAAAGCAAAGCAATATACTCACTGGAAAGGAATGAGTACTTTATGGCTGGTAGGCAGAAGTCACAGGGAGGCCTTCCTTTCTTAAAGTGCTCTCTGCAGCAGGAAGTGCCTAAAATTAGAGAAAGAAAAGACTGCCACTGCTGTTTTATTTGACAAAAATAGGCTATTAAATATATATAGCAACAGAAAACGATAATACTTTTAAAAGTTGGTCAGTAAGTTTTAAAAAACAAATAAACATGAAGGTAACCCAAAATGTGTTAGTCTTTATCAACTTGATTTAGAAGACAAGTATTTTGCTCACTTCAACTGAATTTTTTTTAAATCTTCACCTGAAGGTGTGTTTTTCATTGATTCTAGAGAGAGAAAAGGGGAGAGAGTGAGGGAGAGAGAGAGAGAAACATCAATGTGAGAGAGAAACATCAATCCGTTGCCTCACACATGTGGCGTGACCAGGGATGGGAGCCATAACCTAGGTATGTGCCAGGGCTGGGAATCGAACCGTGTACCCTTTGGTGCACAGGACGATGCTCTAACCACTAAGAACACCGGCCAGGGCTCAACTGTATTTTTTAAGGAGACATTTAACCATAGACAGCAATTATATGAAAAGGAGAATATAAACGTCCAGTTGTGAGAAGTCACATAATTAAAGGTTGCCAGGACGTCATCTCATTTCTGGAACTGAGTCTGAGCCCACGGAGGTATGATAGAGTGTTAAGAGTGTCAAAGGGCCTCAGAGCCCATCTGGTACACAATCCCTATTTCAGACCAGGAACCAGAGGCCCACTTGGGAACCCAGATCTGTTCTATGCTCTTGGGATTAAGACCAAAATCTCTGACCTCTGAGAGGTCCAGAAAGAGGAGACTAAATACAATAGATACTATATTTCAGAATGTCCCACTGGGGTGGCAGGTGGAGACATCTAAGCAAAATCTGAAGGCAGTGAGGACGTGAGCCATGGGCCTATTGAGGGAAGCAATTTCCAGGTAGAGGGGGGCAGCCAGGGCCCACGGGAGGGGGAGGGAAGTGGCAGCTACATCTGTGGTAATGGATGAACCAATCGATGGAAATCAGGTAACAGGGAAGCTGATGAAGACAGAACCTTGGGGAATATCTACTTAAAAGGTGGGTGGAAAAGGAGACTGGGAAGGAGCAGCCAGAGACAGGGGGAACAGAGAAGGGAGGCCATCAGGGTTGGAGAGCTGCCAGTTTTGACAATCAGCTCTGAGGTGAACACTTCCCACTCAGAGAGTAAGGGCTGGGGAAGGATGGCTTGTGGAAAAGGAAGTGTGGAAGCCTGACCAGGGCAAAACATTCTAGAATTAGGAGGCATCCCTGACCCCACGTCCTGCAGCATCAGAAATGCAGTATCTGTTTTCATGTAAACACTTAACTGGTAAATATGTGACCCTGATAGCGGGCTTGCCCTCCAAATTTGGAAATATTTAAAATATGTCTAAATTCAATTAAATGTAGAAGAAAAGCAAAAGGCCTTAATCATAGTAAGATTAAATGCAAGTGTTATAACCGAAGCCCACATTTTACAAGCTTGTCTTTAATAAGCACATACAAAACAAATGATTTTAATAAATAAAAGAGTCAGTTAAATAAATAAAAGAGTCAACAGGCATCCAACAGCAAATGATAATTCCCAGCAATGCCAACAGTTCCAAAAGTAATCACTAAGTTACTTGAGGACAACAGTGATGAAAGTATTTTCTAATTTCTTCAAGATGCATTTTGAAACTTCTACATGCATTTAAAATTTTTTTCAAATTCCAGGTGATGTAAATCTATTAAAATAAATAAAAATACCTCCATGCAACAATCTAAAAAGAGATAGAAGTAAGGAAAAAAATGATAGTTTATACCGTTGACCACTGATCACGGTTTCGAACTGTGCAGGTCCACTTATACTTGGATTTTTTTCAGTAAAATACCTGTACTGTTTTCTATCCTTAGTTGGGAGTCTGTAGATGCAAAGGACTCACTGTATGCATTGATCTAGGCCATTTTATATCAGGGACTTGAGCATCCCTGGATATTGGTATCTGCGGGGGAGTCATGGAGCCATGACTGGGGGATACTGAGAGTAGTTAAGTTATGGGGGAGTCAAAAATTACATGTGGATTTTGGACTGTGTGGGGTTCAGCGCTCCTAACCCCCACGTTGTTCAAGGGTAAATTTATTACATTGAATACAGATCACAAATAAGATGACACGTGAAACTGAAACATAAAATATGAACAGATCTGTGGCCCATACCAACTCCCACTTAACATTAACAGTGGTGGGAGTGGTTCAGGATGGGTGGGAAACAGTTCATTCTGGATCAAGCACTACTATCTTTCTTCTCCTGAAGCCTTCTTGCTTCCCTCACCTTTCTAGAGAACTGGTCACCCTGCTTGGACTCACCAAGCTAAGTTCTGCTCCTTACACTCCTTGTTATTTTTTGCTGCCTCCCCTAAGTAGGCTGCTTCTTGCAGAGTGGGTTGTGTCTTCCATCTTTCTCTCCCTAGGGGTTAGCACAGAACCTAGCACATGGCAGGTGCCCTAATTATTGAATAAAATAATGAAAGAAAGAAAAATACACTTAGATGATAGGCCTGATGTCTCTTCAAATATTTTTTGAATCCAGGAAACTTTAGGAGGGTCAATGCTAAAATATTTATTGATTGCTAATGACAGATCTCCCTCAGTTCTTCTCATATCACAGATGCCCAAGGGACCAGCCACACAGCCACCTATACTCTTACATCCAATAGCAGGTATTGCCCATTGCGCCTTCCTTTTTACAATTATTTCAGGCCTTGCTCAGCCCAGCTGCTTTGTGGCACATCATATTCTACAGGAAGTGACTTTTTGTTTTTAAAATGATGACCATTTTTCCTGCTAAATCATAAACCCCTAGGAGAAAAAGTTCAAAAATATCATGTACAACAGAGACTGTTGCAATTTAAAAATATTATGTTTTGCACTCTAGGTCAAGCTAATAGACCTATTTGATGGGTCAGAAATGTCATTCTCTCATCATGAAAGAGCTATGAGATTACAAGGAGGGGAGAGAACAAAATTTTAAAATGCCCAAGAAATTTATTTTTACTTTCTTATCCCAGAAATATATAAAAAGATTCTTTTTAATGTAGTTAAATAAAGGTAAGATGTGACTCAGCTGAAGTTAAAAGTGAAGATTTTTGCTACTTTGTAAAAATATAAATAACATTTTATTCAGTGCTACTGGAAAAATGCCCCTTTAGTATATGGTGGAAGGTCCTTTAGGCTATCACAGTGCATTACACAATGTACATCTACCATTTATGTTACATTCTGAAGTTCCTTCCAGACACCAAGAGTCTTTTAAGACCCAACCCTTGAGAGTCAACAACACTTAGAACACTCCCCACAGCTTCTAGTGGCACTCAGCTTAACGGTGCTATGCTCACAAAAGGTGGTTTGCAATGTTTACCTTGGGCAATAATTTATTTTTAAAGATTTTTTAAAAATTTATTTTTAGAGAGAGAGAAAGATCGATGTGAAAGCGAAACATTGATCAGCTGCCTCCTGCACACCCCTTACTGGGGGTCGAGCCCACAACCCAGGCCTGTGCCCTGACCTGGAATAGAGCCAACAACCTTTCCGTGCACAGGAGGACACCCAGCCAAGTGAGCCACACCGGCTAGGGTGACAATAACTTATTTTTAAGGCAGCCTACTTCTTAGAAATTCTTGAAGACCAAGGTAATTTAGGAAGTATTTCAGGAGAGGAAGAGGGAGAGACAATTATGGAATGGCATCAATTTTTTCTTCCCCAAACGAGTGTCCAAGCCTAACTGTGGCTTCAGAGAAAGGTTATCTTCCTGTCCACAGCAAGAAGCACAGAGTGAGGGAGTGAACCCCGAGAGCGGGGTCTGGACAGGTAAAGAAGAGCAACATCACTGTAGTCAAAACTGTGCTTTCCACCACTGCTCTGCGACCTTCTGAAATCGGAACGAGGTGGGGTTTGTTACGAAGAGTCCAAAGAAGAAGTAGGTGCTCAGTAGAGCGCCCCTTCTCATGTTCACTTCAGCACACATGGTGTCTCAAAACTGAACACTGCAGATTGCTTGAAGTCACAGAGATCCTGTATCACAATGCATGACTACCAAACTTTCTTATTATAGATGATACTGTATTACAGTAAATGGCAAACTTTCATAATATTCCTTATTTTTTCCTTAAAACTGATTTTGAGTGAAATATTACATTGGATGATTTATTACCCTTCAGGAGGGAATAAGGAGGGGGCTTGGGAGGGGCAGTGAAGCAGAGTTAGTGATCTGAAGTTTTCCTCTACCAAAGACTATACCGACCCCCTGTAACCAACCAGTACACAGCTCTAAGTCAAAGCAGTTATTTTAACAAAGTACTTAAATGGCAACGTTTGGCTTTTCAGGAGCAGGGAAATAATTCCTGGCGGCTTTCAGGTATCAGCAGGGCTCTCCACTGATACCAGACGCATGGTGGCAGCCAGCCAGCCGTGTGACTGGTGACTCAATACACAAGTTTCTGTGGTCTCCACAATCTGATACGGTAAGAACATCAATTTTTAAGTTTGAGGACTAAATGGTAGCAGGGGGATCTTCTGAAAGAATGAAACTCCATGGAGAAGGCACACGGAGAAGCAAAATCATTGCACTTGTTTGGGTTTCTTTAAGCTCAGCCTTGGCCATTTAAATATTTTCCTTCAGAAGGTACCATCTTTATTACAGAATTTTAAGATTACTTATTGTTTGATTTGGAAAATAATCCAGACAGCCATGAACAGAAATTTTAAAATGTTGTCAAACATTAGTCCAAGTGGCAAGAACCCCACCTTCCTGTGATTAATCTCAACTCCAAAAGCAACATCCCCGTTAAACAAAGCCCGGAGTCAAAAATTATCTCTTAGGCACAGCTGCATACACACCTAAACATATTTTTGGCAGAACGGAACATGCTGTCATTCTCTATGTTAAATAGGTTTAAAGAAAACTACAAAAGGTGAAACAAAGAAAACCATCCAAAATGAAGGCTGCACTCATCTTTGAAGAAACAATAGCACATTACTTCCCCCAGGACCCTGCACTGACACCAGGAGAATTGCTGCCCTGTCCTAATTAAAGTGTGTTTCCCTGAACTCTGCTAGATTGCTATTATTCAGGAGAGCCTGGACTCAATGCATACAAAGTCAACC